GACACGTCGACGGGAGAAAAAACCTCTGGATATGGACTGCGGTGTCTTTTTGAGGTTTGCCTTTTTTGGGCCATGGGGGCTGGTTGCACAGGAAATCAGGAGGGAAAACGATTTTGGGGGTCCCCTGTTTTTGACACGGGCCCATATGTGCCTCCTGGCGTTGGTGCGTCAACATTTGTTCTATAGACACTGTTCTGCTGGCGTCGTGTTGCCAACCGTTGGCGCATGGGTTCACAAGGTGGGTTTTATACCAACGTCCTCTTGGAAGGCGACACAACGCCAAACCGCAAAAAGACATGCTTTCGCAATTAGGTTCCCAGTCAAAGTAGCAATGACAGGACAACAAATGCCACAAAGCTGTCACTTGACCTTTCTGGATCATGAACCCCACGGGGTCTCAGGCGGATCCTCCCAAGAAAGATAAGACTAGCAAACGACCGTACTAAGGCGTGAAAGAGTTAGCAAGGAGCGACAGGCTGCGCCAAAAACCGCCTTTCATGAACTGGAAGAAGAACATGTCATATAAGAAGTTGATCGAATGTAGCTCTGTTTGTTGATGCGCGTACATAATATAAACCAAAGCATGTGCACGTTGGGAAATTCAAATCATTGTGGACTGTAACGTCTAGCATGTTGCGCCCATTTTCTGTGGGGACCGCTTCCTCGGCGTGCAGGGTCTCCTTTTGCGGGCCTGCGCAATTCTCCAAACGACCCTCTGACGATGCGGCCAGTCGATAGAGGATGATCAAGATCATGAGCACCACCTGCAAAGCACGTCACCCCATTGTCCAGTGGCACACAAAGCATTGGCTCTCTTTGGGGCTGACCATTTCAGCAAAAAAACAAGCAAACATATGATTCCAGGGTACAACGTCCTGGTTGGGGGAGATTAACCCCATTCCCTTTCGAGGAACGAAGCAGTGCTTGCGTGTGCGGAACATCTCTCTCTCTCTTAGGATTGACTAACCCATGTCCAATTGCTGTTCACATGGAACCCTTCTCCACTTCAGCCTTCAAAGTTCTCAATTGAATATTTGCTACTACCACCAAGATCTGCACCAGAAGCTGCTTCGCTCAGGCTCACGCCAAAAGCTGCTTAACAACCCCTACGTCCTCCTACTCACTGACGAAGTGCTTGCGTCAGTGGTTGGGCATCGGTCACCCGCTTGAGCGCCATCCATTTTCGGGGCTAGTCCATTCGGCCGGTGACCTGCAAGGTAGATTCCCCAGCTTCCCCAGAACCAACCTGAAACCATCCACTCGGCCACCGAAAAGGTTACGGAATGGCCTCCAAACCGCTGCCCAAGCGAAAATGCTGAAACCAAGTTTTCCCAAAGAACATTTACATTTCCCGGGACAAATGCAGAAAGACCACGAAATGTAACGTAAGCTTCCCACCATCCCGAATCCCACTAATCAACTTTGGGCACCTGGAATTGGAGCCAGTGAAAACAGGGCTCCTGGGCTCGATCGCTGGCCCTTTTTGAGCGTCAAAGGAGACTCATGTCAAATGGGCTTGAAATGTCATTATGGGCGGCTCTCTCAAATTGCTGGTCCCTTAAAAGGAGAACAAGTCTCCTGTTCGTTTCCTCGCAACCAAAGGCAGCCGCCCACTTTTCAGACAGCCCCAGGTTTCCAAAAGCAAGCAGCAGGGCGAACCCCGGGGCGCCGGGCCCAACGTACGGCCCAATGCCCGCCCAAGGTGAGCATGGCCTCGGCTCCCCAAGTCTCGTGGGCGCAACCCACGGGAGTTGAGACCGTGGTGGCAACTCCCCCGTTGAGCAAAGACGCCCCTTTTTGTATGTGCATCCCTGTTGAAAGGGTGAAAACAGAAGTCCCAAGATTCCGAAGACAGAACTTGGTCCAAAGCTCGATTCGCTGGGGGTATCTGCAAAAACAAAAATGAGGGCCGAGCATGCCCACATTATTTCCGTGCGAACTCGGGTTCGATGAGCGCCCTTTTCAATCTGAGGGCTGAATCGCCAGTCTGACTTGGGCAATCTTCGTTGTGGGGTAATGTGTTGACGGGGAACACGCACGAAACCTACACATTTTATGAATCCAAAGTCTCAACTAAGAGATCCCAAAGAAGAACACCTTCATGATCTTCGCGATCGTGTTTTACACGCCATCTGGTTTTCTCTCTGGCCGAACCACGAAGGCAAATGCCTTTCAAAGCCATTTAGCACGTCCGGCCAGGGGTTATCACCAAAAAGGGCACCCGTTTAGATGGTTTCCCAAATCAAGCCGCCTATCTTTGGGCTCCATTCTGACATGGAGTACATAAACAAAACACGGGCGTTGGGTTGGAAAAGCTGGGCCCTCATTTCTTGCGGTCGAAACCACAACCCAACTTGGCGTTTTTTAGGAACGTGATGTTCAAAGGCAGTTGGGGGTCTTAAATTATGAACCCCCCCTTGAACCAACCTTCAAACGGGCACCCTAAAAACAGAGACACCTACAAAGGGAATCCAAAGCACAAAGGGGCTGCAAGGGTGGGCCCAAACTGGGGCTTTTTGTTGCCAAGGCGCCAAGATCCGATGCCATACCCAGTCCCTCACTTCCTGGCCGACGCAGCGCCCGACCCGGTAGCAGACCGGGACACCCCTGAAACCAGCGGAAAGAGGGCACTGGCCCAAAGAACATGCATCCACCAAACACGGGAGATGGCAAACAAAAACGTATGCTCTGGGCAAGTGAGGCTCAAATCGGCGAGTTTCAAGATTGCTCTCTAAGCTTGCTTGACGTTGGAAGGGGAGCAACAAAATAATGTTCAGCAGTTCAGTGGTTGGATTTCAACCACTTCACCACAATAAGCAAGAACGTAAACTGTTCTCAACAACAACCATGTAAGAGTGGGTGCCCCGTGAAACAGGGCATCTTCAAGCCGCATCGCTGTGTTTTGGCGCTTCCCCGACCCTTACCCTACCTTCCCCCCGCCGACTTGTCCGAGGGGACCTGGAAATAACACCAAAAGGTGAACGGTCACTGGGAAGGGCATTGTGATTGCCGAAAAAAGATGCATCCTCTCACTTCCGATCGAGTGGATGGCCAAAGGGTCGGAACTTTTTGTTTGCCACAGATGTGGTCTGCCCAACAGTGTCAAGTCCAGGAACTCCGGAAGTGAGCGTTTTGAAAGGACTTCTGATGGATTCCCCCAAAAGGTGCCCCCTTGGAAGAGTGCAATCATTTACCAGGAAGGCTGAAACACACCCATACCATATGCGAAAAAAGGAAGCTCAACGCTCAGAACAGAGCCACCAGAACGTTTCAACGCCACTCAATCGCAAACCCCAAGGCCACATGTGACACACCCGGGGCCCAACCCGACGGGGTCAACCGCAGCAGAACCAAAGCCACGGCCCCGCCGCAAAGGTCTGCACCGCCAGGGTGAAGGACAGCGACAGCGAGGTGGCGGTGGAGAGGCCGATCCAGATCCTCGCCCGCGCTTTTTTTTATCGATCGAAGGATCGCCCTGGAACGGCCGGGCTGCGGCTGAACTGGTCCAGAAAGTCGGTCGCTGCAAGGAACCCGGGGAGACTAAATGCAACTGCACAACAATATGTTATCAGGCTAAGATTGCCGACATATGATGCTGCCGGAAGTTAACCTTCAGGTCGCAATTAATTGATGAACACGGAGGTCTTGAGGTGCTTCGTTGGAACCAGTGGGGCAATGGGCTTCTTCTGGATGCGGCAAGCTGCGCAGCAACTTTTACCCTAGCTGCTCCTAGCTCCAATTTCTGTGTTTTGGAAGGGCAACCCCGTTCTAAGCCCAAGGAACCTTCTGAGGCCAGAAAAACCTCCAAAGAAAAACCGGCCAGGACATGGAGAGCTGGGTGCCATACTCACCTTCCGAAAAGTCGGCCGGCTTTCTGGAATTTACCAGGTGGTTGGCCGACCCATGAAAGCCACAAGTTCATACTGGGCACATGCATTGCTATAGTGCAAGCATATCACACCTATATGTGTATATATATATACACACCTATGTATATATATACACACATACATATGAATAATGAACAAACTCACCCCCAAGAAACAGGAAACTAACTCACCTGGTCACACCCCATGCCAGACATGCGCCGCTTTTGAAAGCCACATGGTTGAGAGGTCGATTTGTGGACTGAGGGAACAAGAACACCTAAGTCCAACCCGATAAAAATTGATTTTGCCACCCTTACAATTATTGGATCTACGCAAAATTAGCCAGTTTCAGGGGCTCCTCGTATTTATCTGACCCTTTCATTTAGGGTCCCTCTTATTTCCATCACATATACATACTATATGTATATACTTTGTTGATGCACTCTATGATAATTACATGGCCATTTGGAGGCTATGTTTTCTCCTTTTGCTTCCAGTGTTGTTTTATAAGGTGTGTTTTCCCCTGTCTGTGAAGACCCTCCGAGGAAAAGTGAGGGCATCATTGAGGCTCTTGAGAGGGGGAACGTGGACTCATCTCTAAGCGCAGGTGGTTCGCGCCCAGCGTCTTGTCGGTCAAAGATGCGCTCTCGAAGTAGAGAAGGAATACGCCTGGTGGAGCATTTGTTCCATGCCCAGGTGGCAGAAAAAGGAACTGTTCTGGGCTTCGCCATCTTTATCTAGAAAGGAACCCACAGTGTCACAGGGATAAAACCAAACAACATGTGTGTCCAAATACGGGGACCCCCTAAATAATTGTTTTTTTCTGCAAGGTTGAGACAGGTCTCGTCCAAATCCTCGGGCAACAGGTGACTTGGGAAGGTATGTTAAAAAACGGCACTATGGAAGCCACCCAACCAAAACCATGCGTGAAAGAAACCAAGAGCACACGAGTTTTGGGCTTGGACCGCACCAAGAGACCTTTACCAACCGGGCCCTATCCTCGCCTGCCAAGGACAAAACTGCTTTCCTCAAAGGGACATGAGGAAATAGGCTGGTCTTCGCCTGACGCGAAAGGTTCTCACTTCCTACCGTGGACAACCAGCAGCGCTGCGACAAACCCAAGGGTGGCGA